TTTCCCTCCACTGGCCTTGAGACTTTTTTCCTGGGTTGCTATTGAACTGTCGACGTTCGCCGGCTGTTTTTGAATGCTCGGGTTTCCTTGCCCACTGATTCGCTTTGCCTCCGTAGCCGTGTGCTTGAGTTTGCTGTAGTCTTGGTGTACCAAATTGGTTTCGCTGTTGATATTGGCGTCTTCTTTCGACGTCCGCCGTTCTTCTACTTTCAAACTGGATTGCTAGCTCAAATAACTTTTCCACTGTAGTCGGATTTCTTAATTCAATAATGTCTTGCACTTGGAGCAGTAACCTCGGAAAAATCACTTGAATTATTTCAGGATCTGGACGGTTTCCATACACGAGTTTGAAGACGTGAATTTTTCTTAAAATAAAGCTTGAGAGGTTTTCGATTCTTTGTTGATATATACTGAAAAGTTCCGTTTCTAATTTCGCACGATCCCTTACAACAGGGAAGGCTTTTAGTAGGGCAGTTTTGATCGTAAGTATAGGTGGGACTTCCTGCTTGACCCAAGAGACTTCTGTCTATACATTTGAACCAGTTAAGTGCTTGGCCCCTCAAAGCGCTGGTAGCTAAGGTAACTTTTTGAAACTCGTGCACGGGGTAGAGCATGAAGTGGTCATCCAATTTTTCCAAAAAACTGGTTACCGGTGAGTTTCCATTAAATGTTGCTTCTGGTTTCATCGAAGCGCGCATGGTCTCTGGACGATTGTAACCAAATCCTTCCAGGGCGGCAGCTGGCATTTCTGGACTTCTGAGCCGTTCTGCAGGCAGCACAGGTTCTTCTTGAAACTCGGCCATGGTTATTCTTCTTCATTGGGCGCCACTATCAGGTTCAATGTTCCTTCTAACCTTCTTTGGGAACATGCAAGGACCTGACTCGGAACAGAGAGCTTACTAAAGCTATGTTCAAAACTGTGGGAAGTAAACAGGATACACAAGAAGGGTATACAAAACCCTTTATTTTTCTCTATTTACAATGACTTCCGTACTTCGGAATACACCGACCCGCTACTTGGGGTCAAAACGTAAAAGTATAAAAATAAAACTAAACTCTAATTTAACTTTAGAATAATAAACGTGGAAGATTGGCCTTATAATAACAGGAAGCGTATGTAGTACAGAGAACTGTGAACACTACAATACATTTAAATTTATCAAGAGGATTAAAACCTCTGGCCTGGAAGGCAAACAGCAACTGCGTAACTTCTAAGCTAAGCGGCCTGCTTCGACTCACTGCTTCCTCTCTCTCGCTTGGCAAAAAAGCCACAACTTAAATACTTGGCGTTCGCCAGACAAACTTTGCATAAATACCTTCACGCTTATAATTTTGGCCGGAAGTAGAAAATAAGAAGTGATAGTAAAGATTTAAAATAAAATAAACGTTAGTAAAACTTAAGATCCTTATAGCGTATGGGATTCGAACTCACGACTCCAAGAAATGAACATCCTTACCATCAGCTTTACCACTATGTTAGGATTGCACGTGAGTCGCATGCATATTTTGGCTTATATACATCATCAACTAAATCAATTCTTAAAAGTTTTTTGGTTCTATTTCAGTGTGCTATCATCTGAAAAATTTACCAGAGTTTGTTCTTCAGCTTCTAGTACATTTTTTACAAAAATCATTATCTTTTAAAGTGGCGTTCGGATTGAAGTTAAACGGGCTGCTAAAAATATATTTCATGTGCTTACAAATATATGTTATCCAAAAAGATATATTTATAAAGGGAAATAAAAATTTAACATACTCTTAAATGAACTGGAGTATTTAAAAAGCTATCAAATTTAATTTATAATTAATTTTGATAATGTTTTTAGTTTTTACCTGTTTCAAAAGAAAAAAATAGCAAATCTTTTAATCATATCTAATTTGCTATAGCAGTTTGATATAGTCAGATATTCATTTTCATTAAAGCTAAATGAGTATGCAGAACTAAAATATGATTATCAGAACAAATTTTGCTATTTCATGGACTTGGAATTATAATTTTTGCCGCTGATTTTCTTGAACTGAATTTCTTGAACGAACAAGTACTGTAGTTGTAGTTATCTTGTTTTTCTTATCTTTTTTTAACTAAATTCAGCTGATAGCTGTCTTTTTCAGCACACAGATTTCTTGCTATAATGTTAATTCAGAAATAAGTATTTTTTAGCAAAACATTCTTTCCCTATACGCGAGCGTTCATCGCTACTTCTGCCGCCATTAATTTTTAGTGACTGCACCTGATTGCTCCTTTTTTACCACGTGACCCCAACGCATCCGCAGACATACGGATAGAAGTTGAACATTGTTGAACTCCATTCGTATGTCATCCATCACTGCACACCGACCGGATTGCAGATGTCAATCAAAGTGAATTCGCTCGCTGATTGGAGAAACGCATACGCAGCAGTGGAAACGGGCCTTCAGGCAGATAGCTCTTGTGTGCTTTGCCATAATTAAATACACCAAAAACACCAAACACCTTTACTATGTATGGTCTTTTATGGTTAGTATGGGGAGTATTGTTACGTTTTGCATTGTCTTCAGATATATTTCCATTTCTTTTCTTTTTATTTCGGAAAGCCTCATCTCCAGTCTATTATGGCGGGAAGACGCCATTTTTTTGTGGAAGAATACCCTCATATGGTCAATGAACCATTTATTAATGCACATGAGGGTGATGATTCATTTTCTAAAGAGTTAGAAAGTGATACTTTTTCTAAGAGTTAGAAAAGATACTTCTCCGTTCTTCGAGATTTACCGCACTCAGTCTTCATTTTAAATTTTGCTACTTCTTACTGTAAATAGTCTTTATTGTGTTGTTTTATTAATTTTAAACTTTATTGATGGATTTTATCAATTAAAACTGTGGCATAATTTGAATAGTGCTTCCAAAAATTATTTTACAAGAAAAGCAATTTTTTAAGTATATTTTCATGTAAAATAAGGAAAAAAACGTTATTAAGTGCTAATTTTAACATATATAAGAGCTCAAGTAATAATCTAAAATGATACCAAAAATTACGATGCTAGAAGGAAACCTTTTTTGTGTGATTTTTTTAAATAAAATTAGGCTTAGCGATGCAAAACTTCCGTCCTGTACGGTGACTGCCTTCGATTCCCTTCCGTCCCATGCGAGCATCTTAAACGAAGGTGAGCCGTTGCGAAAAGGTTAAATAGAAACTTGTACAAAATTGAGTTTTTTAATAAAGGTGTTTATCAAAATAGTACAATGAGTGGTTTATTACGTCACAATTAAGATTGATTTGATTTAAATTGATTTTGGATTTGCTTTTGTTCTGGTTTGCTTCTTGTTTAAGTGATGGCTTCTAGCATGAATATGCCCCCAAAAATCAATTCTTAAGGAAAAATATTGCAGCCATGATATATAAGTTTTCTTATGCTGGTGTATAATACAGGGTGTTTATAAAGTCCTGGACCCATTTTGATGTTTAATAATTCATAAAATAATAAAGACTGATTAAAATTAATAACACAAATGGTTAGATAGACTCAAAAAGTTTCATGACACTTGTCAAGGAACTTCCACGTGTGCCCCCTTCATCGCATGGAGAATATCAAGTCGGTATTCAATTTCACGCCAGGTACCAGCAAGCATGTCGGCATCCACACAGGCTATTGCAGTTGTAATTCTGGCTTTTAGGTCATCGATGTTCGACACTCTCCTCCTGTAAACGCTGCCTTTTACAAATCCCCAAAGGAAAAAGTCCATAACATTGCAATAGTTGCCAAAAACAAAAGAGAAAAATGCAATTAATAAGCAGACGATATTTAGAAAAGTACAGGTATTTAGACTGGAAAATGAAATTATCTGAAATTAGCCACACGTGCAGACGATATTTACAAAAGTAAAGATGTTCAAACCTGAAAAGGAAAATATATAAGTTATTCCATCAATAAATGCCATAAGTTTGTTTATATCTTCATAATTTTATGAGTTATTAAACATCAAAATGGGTCCGGGACTTTATAAACACCCTGTTAGCATACAGTGATATATAAAAGATTTGGCAATAATGTAGTATGTGATTTATTACTTTTAGTTAGTTATTTCGTAGCTTGTATAATTGAAAAGATTCGCATGTCTGATTTATATCCAATTCCTTTTTTTATTCTATTTTTTCCCCACCAGCGGCCGAGCAGTAAAGTTGCTGAACACTGGTCGCTGCTGAACACTATTTTTGATAATTAAGAATATATAATTACAAAGGATTTCATTAAATAACATAGAACTGTTAAATTTTTAACTTAATTAAGTTCCATCCAGTTTCAAAATAAAATGCAGGAGTGGCTCAGAACTGTTTCTGTAGACATTATGAAAAGCAAAAATAAATACAAGTAATTAAGAATACACAAATGAAAGAAGTTATTCCATTAATAAGTTTAATAATGCATTCAATTTGAATTTCAGTAGCTTCATAATTAAAACAATAGGTTTATACAGTAAAAAATTCAATAGCTTCATAGTCAAATGTCTGATAAAATATCAGGGAAAAGAAATGATTAAAACATCAACCAATTTTAATGGCACCATTTGAAAAATAGATAACTAATTAAAAGTGATAGATTTTTTACATTGTTGCCAAAGATTTTGTACTCTTTTGAAAATTTTGCTGGAAATGTTTTAAAAGACACTCACTATTTTACTAATATATTTTTGCAAATGTGTGATAAAATTCAAACTTTTATACAAGATTGATTTCATTTAGGGAAGCCTCTGTTAAATTTTCAGAAATAGGTAAGCATCTCTTAAATCTTCAAAAACAAATTCTGAGTATGTCCTTGGTTTGTTTTGCCTTAAATAAACATGACAAAATTATGAAGGAGAAATTAGGGCATTCAGGGATAATAGGAGGATATTTTATTTATCTGAGAGGTGATATAAATTTTTGGTCAGCATTTTGTTGTTAAAATTTCATGTATATATGCAGTGTTTTCATTAGTACTGTAGAAATACCATTTGTGAATTTTTTAAATTTTTCTTATAGTTTAAAGTGACACCAGAAACTAGTGCTATAATTACAGATGCTGGTATTGGAATCAATCCATCCCAAACTGCAGGTAATATATTAATTCAGCTCCAGGTTTTTCATATATTAATATTTTATTTGCATTCATGTTGTATTATTTTTTATTATCTTAGTCTAATATTTTTAGAAAAATATACTGTGAATATTTAAAATTTTCTTAAATGACTAATCAATATTGTAAATTTATCTTATTCACATGTGATGTCACTCCTTTCACTCTGTTAGCTGAGATGTTATTCATAACTCTGAATTGTTTTTTTCTCACCAGTGGTCAAGTGTTTAAAATGATTACTGAATACTAGTAGTATGTTGTGGGTTTAAACTGAGGCAAATGGGCTGGGTCCATGGTCGATGTCTGTGGTTTTTTTCCATATGTAACATGAATATGAATCAGCTTCTCTTAGAAGTCCTCCACAAAGCCATTGTTTCCATTAGGCAGCTATTGTGTGTTTTGACATATTCAAATAAGTTAACCGAACATAATCTTTAGGTGTTATAGAGATCTAGATTTAGCATGCTTCTAATAGTGCTGTTCTGCTCTGGTGTATTTCTGGCAGAATGAGTTTTACTTTTTGACATTTTCTGCTTATGTTTATTTTGCATGGCATTATCACAGAATCATGTTTTCCTCCCAGTAAGGTTACAGAATGTCACTGACACTTTACAAAAACAGTTTTCTGTATAATCCTTTGATGACGCTCAATGAGCTGAGCTCACATTCCAGTTATTTTATGCAGTGGATACAGATGCAACTCACATTAAAAATTTAGGACTGACGGATATCACGTGCATTAGGAAAAAAAGAATTACTTAATCTCACAACTGCTGAAGAGTTAAATTTTCTTATTAGCATTTTGAGATATTGATTTGGCATTTTCAATATATTTGTTATATTTTGTTTTGTTTGGAATACAGAATGAGATTTTTTTTGGAAATAACTCCTAAAATGAATAGATAGTTTGACGGTTTTGTAAATGTAATTTCCGAGGAAAAATATTTATATCAAGAAATTGTAAACTGGTGTGAAAATTGAAGTTAATGTATTTCAAAGAAATGTATTTTTGATTATCTTAAATTTGAAAGTAAAAATGAAAAATATGTCCTCAAAACTGCATGTTAAGATTGTTCAAACAGAGGTGAATATCAAAAAAGTGAAGGATCCAATCCTGAAAGAAAATCTACTGACTCAAAGTTACATTGTATTAGAATTGGGAATGTCTTCTGGCAATCCAACTAAAATCATTTATAAAAGATTTGAAGTTAAAAGATATGTTTTAACTTAAAGTTGTTCTGCTTTTGCCAAAGTATATTATGGAAAGGAAAATAAACTATAGAAAATTATATGAAAAAAACCTAACTGCCAATAAATGGAAATTTGTGATATGGCATGGTTATATTTAAGTGAGTATAATAAAAGAAAATCAATCTATGAAATGGCTTCGTCAATATACAGAAAAATTCTTAACCTTATTTATGATAGTTGCTAGGTTTTGTTACAATGGTAAATTATAACTAAAAATTCTTAATTAAGATTAAAATTAATTTATTGTACTATCAGCAGAATATTTTAGAGCCAATTTTTGAAGAAGTAATTTCAGCCTTATATGGAAAGGACATCAAGCTGAGTTCATATGAACAAATATTCTAGTTGCATGTCTAAATCAACTACCGCTTATTTAGAGAAGAAGAAATCAGAAAGAGGAATGAAGTGTATCCAAGCCAATGAAATGCCTGTAAAATCACCTGATGACTTTTTTATGAACTTTTTCACTTTTGGATTGTTAAAACAAGCCTTAAGAAAATGGCATGCGAGAACTCAGAATGGACTTTGGAAAATGACCGAAAAGAAGTGGGATGAAATTGCCATTGATGGTGCTAAAGAAAATTTACTTTTATGGAAAATTTGAGCTAAGCTATAGCCAAGAATCAGGGTTATTAGATAGAAGTAAACAGCAGCAAGAAATATGCCCTTTATGAATAAAAATTAATTATCAAGATCATTTCCATAAAATGTGAATTGCCTTCTATATATCCAGGGTGTTTAAAAAAAGTTGCACTTTTATGTAGCTGTGAGGCACTGGTGCTCTCTATGAAGAACAAGATGCCAATGCCAGTGAAATGCAACAAAAAAAGAAAACGATTACGATTATTATATTGTAATTCAAAATAGATCACATGCTGAATGGTTTAAAATAAAGCAAAAATCTTTAGAACTGTTTTGTAAGTTACCTGAACAATATAGTTGTACTGGATTACGCTGAATAAAAACGTTCTTAAAGGAATAGTTTATTTGATTTTTGACACTGAATAATGAAAGAAAAGAACCCACAATCATTGGTCATGACAGTAGCTGTCTTTGATTTCCTTTAAAAAATGAATTGGATAAATTAGGCTTTTAGAATCTAGAAACTTGAATATATATATGCATGCAGCAGGGTGATAGGAAGGCTAATATTTTTCATAAATGAAGGTGTCAAAAGAATTCTATCTTCTTATGATCAAGTTGGTTTGAGATATTCTGAATTAAAATTTTGAGGCAACTTATACATGCTGCTAAAGATAGCTATGTATGTTAATTTTCCATGTACAAATTTCGAAAGGATTTCTTATGTGATAAATGAATTTTAATATATAACCATGGGTTTCAATTCCCAGTTTGTAGCAATGCTAAAATTTGAAATTTCATGTGGCATAAAATTAGCTTCAATGATTATTAACTTGACATTTTTAAATTGGGTGAAAGTGGTTCGGTTGCATAATTAATTTGGATTTGACAGTTTTTGTCCTAGATTTAATTTTGCATATAGCAATATCCCCTCCCCCAAGAGATCTTTTGGAGCTTATTAACTTGGAACTTTCTTTATACTGTATAAAATACTAACTTTCCTATTTGTATGCTACAATGTGCCGTGCAATTCTTAACTTTCATGGTGTGAAAGCCTACTTTTTTATATTCATTTATAAATTGGAAACCAATGTGTTGCTGATTAACCATGCAGGAGTTATTCAGAAGTGCAGTTAAACATTACTATTTGAAATTATATCTTCTGTCATGAAAATTTTTTAAAAAGAAGTTCACAGATTTTCTAATCATATTTTATTCTTTTTAAACAATTTTTTGAAGCAGTGTTTAAAAAAAATCATCACATTGTATTTTATGTTTTGGGGCTATTCGTGACATTTTTAACCATGAAAGAAAATAATGTTAGGAAAAGGAATTTTTAAATCATTAATTAATATTCATAAATTACTCACATATTAACATTGCTACAATTTCTTAATGTAGTCTTAAGGCAATACTAATTTTGATAAGGTGAGATTAATTGCAGGTTTTTAGTGCTGTTGGAGTTGTGTTTTTGTGCTTATTAATAAGCTTTAAGTGGTACTTAGGTATTATTAATACAGCCACCATCATCACTTTAGTAGTTTCACCTAAGTATTGTTTCATCATTTTGTGCAGATTATTTTTTTCAAAATAAATATGTGATTTTCTATTGTGCCTAATACACAGTATTTCACTAGATCAGTGATTCTCAACCCTTTTTTTGTCGTGGCACACTTTTAATGATTTCAAAATTTGGCGGCACACAAAGAAAAAGATAAGTTTAAAAGTTGTTTACTTACATGCAATACACCATGTGATAATAATTTTGAATGTGAAATAAATTATGTACTACAAAAACAGCATTACATTTATTAAGGGATTAATTACAAGTTAATAATAAGAATACTTTTAATGAAAAATTTGAGCTTGATGTTTTTTGATAATTTCATTTATATTTGGTCATGAAAATGACAATGCTACTCTCATATCATGTTCTACATTTAACAGTAACATTTAACATTTAACATCTCGATCATTTTTTCGTTTTTATGTTGGTTAATACTGAAAATCTGAATTCACACAAATAATATGTAGAAAAGTGTAATAATATTTTTAAAGCTTTTTTGGCCATCATAAGATAATCCCATCTAATGTTAATCCAAAATGAATTAATTGATTCTTCCGAATATTTTAAAATTAAATCTCAATTATCAGTAAGCAAAATTACTTCTTCCTCTTCGTTCAATGTTAATTCAAATACAGAATTATTCGACACCAAAATCGGCTTTGATACCACAATTTGCGCACTTATTATTGTCTTAAAAACTGAATTACACCATTTCTCATGTGTACCATATTAAACTCATTATTATTCTCATATGTTCTAGTTTAAACCCATTATAATTTTTACTATACACATTTCTAAAATATGTTGGCAACACTTTAAGAATTTGGCGGCACACAAAAGTGCCGCGACACAGTGGTTGAGGATCACTGCACTAGATAATTCTTCCAAAGCATCAGTTGTAATATGCTGCATATTTTATGTAGAAATGTAGAAATAGCATGTTGTTTTCATCATGCCATAGTTTATGAGAATGCAGAACTGTAGAGAAAATGCTAGAATTGCTGCTGACATGCATCACATCTGAATATTACGCTGCACAGTATGAAAATTTTAAGTTTTTTCTTTCAAACCTATAATGTCTTCTTCAGTAGTTCCGATTGCTGATGTAGCTTTCTAAATCTTTGAAGGAGGGAGGCCTTTTTTTCTAATAAGCATAGCCTTAGACTAAATCTGCTAGTAAATGAATAAATAAGCTGGATCAGTGCTATATAAAGTCTGCTTATTCATCATCAGATAAATAAGCTGGTTGTAATCATTTAGGGATAATGTTGATAATACTGTTGTTGGCAAAGAAGGCATAAATTTCATTTGTGTTGCAGGGAATATGTTTTATGCCACTCCATCTTGTTGCAGGTACCCTCTCTTCAAACTAATTATAAGTTTATTTGTGAATGCCAGTGGTATATAGCATAATCATAGATGACTCTTAGCTTAATGAAACATACCATGTGCATTGCCTACCAGTGAAATCTAACAATTTGTGAAGAGAATATTACAGTTGGAATCTTCTCATGTTTATCATTGGTACACATTTCAAAAACCTTAATATAATTTTTGAACAAAATTTCATTAATTATGTAGGAAGAAAAATGTAATTGTCCTTGTGGGAGAACTGCTCATTGAAACAGTGTGTAAAATAGCTAAATTATGATCTGCAATCACTTTAGTAGTTTAATTTAACATATGGTACATGAAAACTTAGCTGTTGAATCATTCATCAACTTATACATGCTGCTAAAGATAGCTATGTATTGATCAGCTGTTGAAATCATTCTTATTGAATTATTTTGAAATACCAGAAATTTGTAATCAGGAGAATTATGATTTGAAATATTGTTGTGTTTTATTTGGATTAAATGTATTCATACTTATTGTTAATTATCACTGAAGTTCCTTTATGACAGATATCTATATTTTCTTATACTTTATCACTGTATTGTCCACTTTCTAATTTATAATTTTCTTATGCCACCATCTGTTGTATTGTTACCTATGCTAAATGCTGCCATCTATTGTGCTATAAATTAGTATGATAATGCTTGGTTATTATAATCTTAATAACAGTTCTGTAGTATTTTATCTATACACCATCTTGATTTTATCTTAGGGTATTCTTGTAATCATGGGTAACAGCAGCAGTGCTGTCATGTTTTTTAAGCAGCACGGAGACTGCTTATTGCTGCAATTTTATATCCAACTGTTGTAATGCTTGTCCTTTAATTATGTATATGCCATCAAGACATTAAAAGAAATCACCTTTATAAATCATTTTGCTGCATGCATTATGCTACTATGCTGTTTAATGTGATTTTATAGAAGAGAAATTTAAATAAGTAGCTTCTGCTCAGGATTTTTAAGCATAAAAGATGTAATAAAACTTTGTACTTTTTGACTTTTGTACAATAAAATGCAATTATAATTTTTATAGAATTAACAATCACATACTTAATTTTCTTTTGGTAGGTGATGTCTTCTTAAAGTATGGCTCTGAGCTGCGCTTAATACCTAGAGACAGAGTTGGCGACTTACATTCCAGCTGAAATATGTTTTCTTGGATGTATATACTTATTTATATAAATATATAAAATATATGTTAATGGTCTTTTATGATTTTATTTAGCTATAAAAGCTACATATTCAGTTTACAAAGATATATATATAGAAAAATTTTAAATTATATATTAAGAATTTATATTCTTACACACTTAAATCACAAAAATTAAAACAAAAGGTAATGCTTATTTCAGCATATGCATATTCACATATAATTATTTACATTCAAATTCTGTATGTAAATTTACTTACTGTTATTTTTTTACAAAAAAAATTTCTAGCCTATTTAAACCTGCATTTATTTGCTTTCATGTCATTTTAATTTAATATGTAAGTTTATATATACATAAAGTTTGGGTGTTTACACGTAGCAAAACAAGTTTGTCAAAGTCTCTAATTTCAACATAATAATTTTCTCCAGATGCAATTTATGCTTCTGTCAGTCATTTCTTGCCAGGCTTTGTTGATGACAGTTGAACGACGATGATATTAGAATGGTGTTTCTTGAAGTCTCTGAGCATTATACGTTACATTATATGTTACTTCAGAACACAGCAGAAAATCATTTGTTGCCAAATAGCTTATTGCTGTGCTAAAAAGGGAATTGCAAAATTGATGTAAATTAGTGATTCAAAACCTGTATATTTAATTAATCGTATTTAGTCATGTAGTACATTCTTGCAACTTTCAGAAATTTCAAAATGTTAGCAAATGTTATCAGAGTTTGTCTTTGACAGTAAAAAAATTTCGCATTTCAAAAGTGATAGTTATAATTTCAGGCAGCTTTTCAGTCATACCAGCAGATTTTTCACCGTATCATTGCAATCTGATAGTGTAACAACTCCTGATGAGTGGTACAAGTGTTACAGAGGATGTGTTATCTTTTCCTTACTGTTGAAAGAACTCAGTTATCCTCTTATTGGGTGGAAATGTGGAATTGTGTGTTTTTAGACTCGTACTTCTGCGACTAGATCAAATGTGCATTTTGGTCTTTGTTACTGTCTAGAACTGTGTGTTGTGTAGCAAATTCTGTTAAGCAATTAATTTATAGCTTATTAAAAATTACTTTATTTATATTCTAAATTATGCTACACAATGTGTATTTTATTCAATCTCTGTGCTAATTTGTTTAACTTTAATTGGGTTTTTCGTACTTAAGAAATGTACGTTCTTTTCACTTGTTATTCTGTGAACGCACTGAACACGCAGTGGAATAAGGTGTTTTTCATACGTAATAATCTTGATTTTATATTACTTAAGTTTACCTATTCATAACTTATACCATTGGAAGTAGAAAAATTAGCTCTTCAAAATTTAAAATCACTTTCAAGAAACTAGCTTTAACAGATTTTAAGATACAATAAATTATTTAACTAAATTTTCCATTTTTCATTGCATCGAGAATGTGGGGGAAGGAATTGTAAAAGACGCAGCTTTTAGCAAGATTTCTAACTCTCTTGCTTTCACTGATAAGGGATTTCTAATGGAGGTGAGATAGGTTTGCCAGTTAAGCCTTCACAGCTGGTTATGATTTGGCGGTCACTTGGGACGCTTGAATTTGTGGCTAGTTTAACGCCTTGGAAAAAGGAGAAATTTTACAGTGTGTAAGGCGGTGGTTGAAAAAAACTGATGTTTTCACAATTTCTAGTGACAATGTGATAATCTCTTCATATCTAAAAGAAGTTGCAGGCGGGAATTTCGGTCTCTTGTGCTTTCACTTTTGCTCGATTTTCATGCTCTCTTGGTTGCTGTTCTCTGTTAGGTTAGTGCCTCCTTGGCTTGGAGATGAGAGGCGTTAGCTTTGGAGCCCCAAGAACAAATTTTTTTTGCTTAGTCATGCTTCCCCTTAAGGAAGCTTACTGCTAATCATTTACCTAAGAAGAAATTGTGTAATATTAGATTCGTTAGCTAAAGAAAAAAAAGAAAAAAAAGAAAAACAGTTCCAGTAATTATTATGCATTTTTCTGCTAAATTCATCAGTTTTCTTCTGTAGAGAGTTCGTCTCCACCTAGACCTGTGGGCTGCGGGATTATTATGTATCTTTCTGCTAAATTCATCAGTTGTCTTCTGTAAAGAGTTCGTCTCTACCTTCACCTGTCGGCTGCAGGAGTATTATGAATCTACCTGCTACTTTCATCAATTGTCATCTGGAAAGTATTCATCTCTGCTTTCATCTGTCTGCTGCGGGAATTCTTACGGGATATTTTTGCCATCTAACGTTCCGATTTCATTCCTTGTGACCTGCGGAAAAGAAGATTTTCAGTCTCACTTCTCGGAGGACGGTCATCATTGGACTCAGATTCTCCAGTTTGCCGGTGCCTGTGGCGGTGATCTTATTATTTAAATTCTGGTCTTCAGGAGTTAAGTCATAATGAATTATCCTGGACGCAACAGGAAAGAAAGATGTCTTTTTTTTTAAATTTTTGTTTAGTCATAATCTATTCGTACTATTCTATATTAGTTTCACTTTCAGCCTTAATTAATTGAGAAATTAAAATTTTGGTTCTTTACTATGTTAGGAGAAAGTTTGGGTTGCCTAGTTAATTTGATCAGTTTAAGAGAATGGTTGTTCTATCCAGTAGCTTATGGAGTTTTTCCTTGTTAATGAAATGATGTTAAGGAAATTTGAAGTTAACTAAAAGAAAAATGAAATCTGAGATTGAGATTTTATTATTCCCGTTTCTGCTACTAAGAAAAAATTCATTGGAAGAAATAAATTAGTGCAATAGTTATAAATTAACAAACGATTACTTGTATGTTATAAGTTGAATGTTGGTCATCCTTCTAAAAATTTTGCTAATGTGTTTTTTTGTTTTTGTTTTTTAAATATGCAATATGTTGGTTAATATTTTGTTCTGCAAAACCTTTCATAAATACCTTTAATGAAGTAAATTTGATTAAGTAGATTATAAGCGAGTTCGAAGATAATATTAAACTAAATAGGGCTAATGATGTGCAATTAAATTTTTCCTTTATATTTTTCTTATTTCTCCCGGGATGAAATTTTTTTTTCTATAGAATATTTTTAATATTTTAAATGTTTTAGATGAACTCGAATTGATAAATAAATTTCATGCATTTCATTGGATAACATTTGTATGTTTTATTTACTACAGTCAAAAGTCGTTAATCCGGACTCGTCGGGACTTCGGTGATTCCAGATTATCGATTTTTCCGGATTATAGATCATCAGTTTAAATCTGGTAAAATGGCATGCAGAAGAAAATTATAAAAAGTAAAAATATGAAACCGTAATTTACGAAATAAAGAACAATTATGATCTAAAGGGTATCAAAATTTACAAAAAAAAAGCTTAATATTTATTTGTTTACTTTATTAAACATTTCTTTCAATGTAAGTTGTTTCAGTTGCTTCGTTTTTTATGTGATAATACTTTCTCTTTAGTTTTATTAAACAGACATAATTTCTTGTTTAGTTACAAAGTTCCGCTGTTCAAGTCTTATAATTGCTGTGTCGAGAATACCGACCAATTTGTCAATCGAAATTTTTTCGTTTTCAATAACCTATGTCACTTTCTTCGCTATCGGAAGCGAATTATAATGACGAGGCATTTGATTTAAATCATATAGACTGAGTACATCGAGATGAAATACTACATTGAGTAATCAATTATAAGCCAAATAAAATAAAAACATCTGCCCTTAAGGTAAGGATAGTGCTGACAAAATCAACTTCCAATTCATTGCACGCCGCTGCGGCGTTAAAGATAAACAAACGTTAAAGTTTATATAAACAAAGAATATGCCTTTATCCATTTTTTGCAGCAATTCCATTTTTTGTTTAATGGATTCCGAAAGATACTTTCGCTTTGTATATCCTTTACATATTAGTAAATATATATCGGAAATTCTATTTGACATAATCGAAAGTTCAAGCTTACTTTTATAAAATTGCTCTAACAGTCTGCAAAAAATAATAATCCGGATCCAATTCGAAGATTAAGGAACAACGCAATCTACAACATTAACTGAAATAGATAATTAGATAATTTTAGCTTAGCTTATCCCGTCCGTTATACATTAAACGCGCATTCGTAAACGTATTTTGCGCACACGCAAATTCGCAGCGGTAAAGGTCTTACGCGCATGCGTCAACGCGACGCATGCGCAGAAAGATTGTAGCTTTTAGGTGCGGATTATAGATCATTCCGGATTATGGGTGTCCGAATTAACGACTTTTGACTGTATATATTATTCCACATGACCTTTTTACCAGTCATAGTAAGAAATAAGGGTTATTCCATTTTTCGCACAATGCAATGAATGTTTTGTGCTAGACTTGAAGAAAATTTAATTTGTTCGTGGTCACTTCTTAAAAGTATCACGTAACATGTGTTATTCATGGTTAAAGGCAAGATATTCATTCTGCCTAAAGGGATTTCTCTTGTATTACTCTTTAATTGTTAATATGATGTATTATACTGCTATTATGACCTGAACAGGCCGAGCCCTGGTGCACTGAGAGGCATGTGCATAAGTGCCATTGCTCTTGAGGGCATATTTAAGTATAGGGGCATTGAGGACTAAGGAGGGCATAACTTCTGAAATTAGAAGTGCGGGATCCCTAGTAAAATTAAAATTTCATAACGTGATAATTTAAACAAATAAATTTTAAATAATGGTAAGTGGTTAAAATAAAATACCAATACTTCGTCTTATTTGGGGTTTTGATTGGAATTACAGTTTCTTTCAAAAAAAAAAACTAAGAAATAGTTCAGCTGGACACTCGCTCAATTTAAGCCCTGAGTATGTAGTACACTGCTCTCCAAAAGTTAAGGAACAGCATGTTGTGTCTAATGTGAGAACAAAGCAACAAACAAGAAATTTACGGGGCATGTTAACTTAACAGTTCTTTAATGAATGCAACATAAAATGTTTCTAAAGTTCAATACGAACATAAATTACAACAAAAAATTGCACTCTTGGTAGAGAAATCCAGTCTTGGAGAAACAGCTCAGGTTGAGAAACAGTATACATATTTTTTTGAGGTAAAATGGGGTGATAACATTACGAAAATGGGTACA